GCAGGGGCTGAGCACATGCAGTAGGATGAGCTGCAAAAGCATTTGCAGCCAGCCAGGATGGGTGTCCCTGGGTTTGGGCAGCGCCAGGACCCGAGCGCCCTGCGAGCGGGCAGCTGTGGGCAAAGCAGCCCTCCAGCCCTGCCCCCAGGCATTGACCTTCTGCAAAATCCAGGTCCCAGCCCCTGAGCGAACACCGCAGTGGGACTCGGACCGAGCTCCCCCTCGAGCCCCATTTCACTGAGCTCCTGGTCTGTAGCTGCAGGACTGGTGCGGGGACTGGTGCTGGCACCCACGCTTGGCACCCACCTCCTCGTGCTGGGGCTCCCTAACGAGCACAGGGGCTCCACTCATGCCAAACCCCCTTTCTTCCAACACTAAGTGCAGGTGAAATTTAGAGCCCCCTCAACCTAAAGTAGGATTTTACGCCACTTTTGCTTTTGTCCAAACAAGGCTCCCAAGGACACTAAAATCCCAAAGAAAATTGATGTCCCGCAGGAGCTTCCAACGGGAGCCCCCCTCCCTGTTCCCAGTGTGGACACGGTGCCCGGGTGCTGGAGGATGCTCCCGGCCCCCACTCCACCTGCTCCCAGTGCTCCCAGTGCGGAGTCAGGCCCCGACAAGGGCTGCGGCCCCACGGAATGTGCCGGGATTAGGGGCTCCATTGTACCTGGCTCCTGCTGGCTCCGCACCAGGGAGGGGACAGGCGGCCCCTGAGTGAATTCCTCTCTTCAGGCTCCTCGACATGTCCTGGGGCAAGAGGCTCTCCCTGCTCCCAGGACATTCCTGCCCCGCCACCTCAGCCCAGGGTTAATGCTAACAGGAGCTGGGTGAAACTAGAGAAGGGGCTCCCAAGGGTGAAAATATGCACTATTTATTCTTGTGCTAATGCAAGTGAGAAAAGAGGACTTAGCCTTTTTAATCAGTTTTCAGGCAGGAGGCTGCCGCATCCCCTGGCTCGTGGCATGATGAGCAGGATTGCAGAGGTCAGCGGTCCCGGGAGCGGCCGGTGGTCCCGCGGGGCTGGGGCCAACCCCATTTCCCACAGCCCCAGCAGCATTTGGCCCCCGCTGAAGCCCTGCACCAGGATCCACCAGCAGGACTGGTGGACTCTGTCCGGGATCATGCTTCTTTTCCCCCCCTGGTTCCCAAGGGAGCAGGCGGTACAATCCTGCCGGCTGCTCCTGCTCCACACCGTTGGGAGAGGCACCCAAACCTGGAGCAGAGGGACAGGGAGCTCCAAGGATCCCCATGCAAAGTCCTGGAAAACTGGTGGATTTGGCAAAAGCACTCACTGCCCATCCTCCCCTCCGCTCCCACCAGCGCCAGCTACAAACAGGCGCTTATAACTACCACGAGCCAGAGGGAGCCAGGCAGGAAAAATCCGCATTAGGGAAACAAAACCGCTCAAGAAAAGAAGCAACAGGGACCAGGCAGGACACCAAAATCCTGCTGGGCAAACCAA